ATTTTTTATTATTGAACTAGGCAATATCTGTTATGGCAAAAACCGGATTTGCTGAGCTGATAGATTTCAACCCTATTCGCGCAACCGATGTACAACTGCCAGCTGGCGGAACTTTTGTGATTGCTCATTCATTGGCTGAATCACAGAAAGCAGTAACTGCTGCGACAAACTACAATAATCGGGTTGTTGAATGTCGTTTAGCATCTGTAAGATTCAAAAAAAAACTCTCTTTTTTTTCATTATTTTTTTTGTTGCTTCAATGGTTTGTTTGGTTTGATGGAATGGAATGAGCCATTACATTCCATTCAACAATACAAACAATTTCTTTTTTCATTCCATTTCTGATTTCATTGTCATCTCTCCCTAAATCCTCCATAACCATTGGGCCTATGTGGCAAGTACCTGACTAATATTCTATATTTACCTCTTTTACATTCATATTTTGCTTTTCACTTTCCGCCCATTTTCCTATTAACCATTCTATTTTTGGAAACTCTTTTTTTTTTTTTTTTTTTGTAGATTGTACTTGGCATAAAACTTGGAATGGAACCTGAAGAGGCAATATCAAAAGTGAAAACCCTTTCTGATGTAGAAGGTTTGTGTGTATCCTTTGCTGGGGCCCACGGGTCTTCCGACCCTACCCTTGCTGTTAAGGTATTCATTCGACTACCTATAAAAATGATGACATGGCACGATCATCATCTAACTCCTATAAATTATTTATATTCCACATATAAGTTGGTTGCTAATTTTAGTTAAAAATAAAGTATGTTGGTGTTTATTACAATTTACCTTTTTTTACTATGACAGGAGTATCTGAAAGAGGAGCCTTATACAGCTGAAGAAATTGAGAAAATCACTGGTAAAAGCCTGGATTTGATTTTCGTTGACTCGGCTTCTTCACTGGATGTGATAAAAGCTGCCAAGCATTACAAGTTATTCCAGGTAAGCTCACAACCTACTTTCTCATTTATCCCATCATTTACTTTTTTTATTGGTTTCATAACTGTTCTTTTCTGAATTATTATTATTATTATTTTTTTTTTGTAAATTTGGGTTATCAGAGAGCCTCGCATGTGTACTCGGAAGCGAAACGTGTATATGCTTTCAAGGATGCGGTGTCATCAAATTCTGAGTGAGTCTAATCATTTTCTAGGATTTTATATTTTTTTTATAAGTAAAGTATGTTTATGTCTTTTTAAAGACCAGAATTTGGAGGGTAATATTGGAATTGTTTTTGCAGTGAAGAGGAGAAGTTGAAGAAGCTTGGTGACCTTATGAATGACAGCCACCATAGTTGCAGTGTTCTATTTGAGTGCAGGTATTATTATAAAAGCTCATGTAAAATGAAAAAAATATATATATATATATATATATATATAAAATTACAATCAAACCTTCTCTCTTTGTTTCCAAAAAATATTAATAATAATAATATTTACGTATTGAAACAGTTGTCCAGAGCTTGAAGAATTGGTGGAAGTGTGCAAAGGTAATGGGGCGCTTGGAGCAAGGCTTACAGGCGCCGGATGGGGCGGATGTGCTGTTGCTTTGGTAAAAGAAAACATCGTTCCACAGTTCATTCTAAATTTAAAGGTTACTTTTTATACACTTTATACTTTTTTTTTTTTTTTCTTTTCCTTTTTGTTACTCAGTTTTATCGATTTAAATGATTGTTTGGTTGTTATCAAAAAGCAAAAGTTTTTTTTTTTTTTATTAATTCTGGTTGTTTATATAATTTGGAGTACAGGAGCAATTCTATCAATCTAGAATCGACAACGGGACAATCAAGAAAAGCGATCTTGGTCTGTACGTGTTTGCATCCAAGCCTTCAAGTGGGGCCGCCATTTTCAGATTTTAGTTTCTTTTGCCCTTTAATGCTTTATTTGTGAAATAATTATATGATTTTGCTTTTTTATTTTATTTTTATTTCATTTATAAATTACAGTCAACGATTAAGTTGTTTTCCCCGTATAGTAAATCTTAATTTATGAATTGTTTGATTGTCAGTAATTCTCGCTTTTCTTAACCACTTTTTATTTTGCTATTTACATGTAGTTTTTACTTCCTAAAACACAATATATACAAGAGCATCCATAATCCTAAGGTTATGATTGTAAGACTTGTTGACAATATAAAATGACATGTGATGATTAAGGATATATAAAATAAAAAAATTATTATGATTAATAAATGGTCTATATTGAAGAATTTAAAAAAAAAAAAAAAAAAAAAAAAAAAAAAAAAAAAAAAAACGAGTTAAAAAGCTATTGAAAAATAGGATATGGTGAGCCAAATATAGCTTAAATGCTTTTAATACTTTTAATTATATGGGCTTTTAAAAGTTTTTGTTGTCACAATAACTCAAAAGGTTGTAGATATTCGAGCTAAGAATTTTTTTTTTTACCAAAGATACAACTGTAAGTAGATTAGTCTTTGTGCTATTTAAAATTTTTTGAATAGGATCCAAAAAGTTTTTATTTGTATATAAAGTTCAAAATCAAGGTTTTTTTTGTGGTTTTTTGTACAAAAAATTGCAATAACGGTTATACTTTTTTACTTTTTTAAAATTATTTTAATTTAAAAATAAAAAAAATTCTCTCTGCACCATGGTTTTGTCGTTCATTGTTTCCTCTCTTCAACTTCTTTTTTCCCTTCTAAATTCAACTTGACAATCAAGAAAAGAAAAAGGGAAAACTTGAATGGAATTGTTTTTCAATCTCAAAATTGATATCGATTTGAAGTTGTTTAAGAACCAAGATGTGCCCCTTTCTTCCCCCTTCACGCAGGTCCAATAACAAAGTTTATTCTCCAAGAAAAGTGAAGAACCAATGAATTGGGTCTTCTACACCTGCAATTTGTGTTCATAGTGAAGGTGAGTGAAGATTTGTAATGTTCGTCGGAAAAACTCTAGCATCTGATGCCACCAACCTTAGATCTGCAATGAATTGGGTCTTCTCCATCTCTCTCATCGCCAGCGAAACCCTTAGCAAAACCCTAGCCTCCGGCGCTGCCAACCGGCAGTGGCTATGCCGACAAAAGAAGAAGGTTGGCATCAGTGGTGTTTTCATCGATGTCGTTCTTTAGTTAGGTGTTTTTCAATCTCGACGACAGTTTCGTTCTTCGGTTAAGGTTTTCATCTTCATTCTTCAATTAGGGCTTTCTGCTTCAGATCTGTCCATCAAGCGATTTAAAGCACATGTACATGTTGTTCTTACTATTAAACATACACTATGGATCTCCAACCTCCTGAGAATCAACGCCAGCGACACATCAACAACTTCAGATCCAAGCTTTGGTGATTTCGGTGGTGGAGGAGCATTAACCGCCCATCAAACTATCCTCAAAGCATTCGTCGGAGCAACCTATATATATATATATATATATATATATATATATATGTGTGTGTGTGTGTGTGTGTGTGTGGATTCGTTGAATGTGGATTGATGCCGATTTTTGGATTTAATGTATTTTTTTGTCCTCGTTCTTGTTGTTCCTACATATTGATCATTTTTTTTTCTTTTTCCAGATCATAAGAAATTAGTTTTAAATACATCATCACTATATTTATATGTATAATTTTGGTTTGAGATGAATCACAATAATAGGTTAGCCGAAAATTCTAGGGTTGAGATTCTATTTATAGTGCAGTCAGGAAACCCTAGATAAGTTCAAATCCAAGATTATTTTAAACCGTGTAATTATCCACCTTTCTAATTATCTACCATGGATAATTCTAGAAACCCTAAGGCTTCAAGAAACCGTCCATGCCTTATGGAGGGTTCTAGAATACCTCTTGCTCAATTATTGAACAATTGCACTTCAGTCCCTACATTTTTAATTAATTCTTTTAACCCCAAAACTAATTCTAATTAATTTCTGATTAAATATTAATTAAACATTACTATTTCTATTTAATATATTATTCTTATAATATATTAAAAAATTATATATTTCAATTTATTAATCAAATAATTAATCAACCTCTCTCACTCCAATAATCATCTTGTCTAGTTGCTAGTCTTGAGGGCAACCCAAAAGAACGGTGCTACTATCAATTCAAGTATATATCAATTATTGTTATAGGCTTAGAAACCTAATCCAACAGTCTCCCACTTGGATAGTCTAATAATTATAATTGTCAATATATTCTTCTAAACTGGTCAGCAAATTGTAGCTCTCAAAAACTGATGTCGAACTCTGACCTACTGCTTAGGGGAAACTCACTAAGCTTTGTGCTTAGGGTTTTCTATTTATGTTTCGGGTACTTCTGTTTTAAAAAGGAAGAGCTCGGGATGATTGCAGAGCACACACCACATATTTTAGCATTTTACGAATTACTCTGATATTGATGATGTATCGATACATTTTGATAACTTTGGTTTTATGACAACAATATGGTTTAATGTTTTATCAATCTAAAAATGAAAAACAAAATGTATGGTCTTATTTTTTGGACGTTACAGTTTAAGACTTTGTTTCCCGATTTCTGATTTGTAACGACAAAGAACTACTAATCGAACACATCAATTTAGTCCTGGCAGGGCCCGACACTATAAGTCAACACCAAATCCTCGAGGGTCCTACAGTGTGACATCCCAATTTTCACGGCCAGAAAAGACCGATTTGTTTATGCTTCATTTTTAAAATCAGAGTATATTTTTAAAGAAAAGTGTTGTGGAATTTTCTTTCCAGAAAAACATGATAAATATGTTAACAAAGCATTTCCGAATAATGTATTTTATTCATTTTAAAACTTTGGGATGTCAATATCAATATAGAAACATAAGCATAAACAGAACTTACATTCATTTACACTAGTGATCTACATTTTCTTTAATCTCTTAGTGTAGTGTAGCTTTATATCGACACATGTGATACAAATAAACTTAGTGGGTCAGGTTGGGAAACCTGGTGAGTACATAGGGTTTTCAACCCACAATAATACAGTTATTATGTTTAAACATCAAATAATCAACCCAATTACCCATCCTCATAATCTTCTTTACTCTTAAGGATCCACCCTAAGAATCATCTATCATTCACCTTTTCATTCCTAAGGATTCTCCTAACGAATAGGCACAAAGTCCATATTTGCCTATGGCTCAGCTACCGATGTTATCTATTAGGCGCAGCTGCCAATATTATCATTTAAGCGCAATTGCCAGAATTATGATGTTCTCTATTAGGCACAGCTACCGATATTATCCTTTTGCGCAACTGCTAAGATGTTTAGAGTACATTATAGTTCGAAAACATCTACAGGTTGTGGCTCAGCTACCAACATTCGTCTATATCACCTTTCATCCTTCATCATTTATCTACTCATGATCTACTCAACATATTTTTAGATATAAGGTACAACTATAGTTTTAGATCCGAAGAAAAGACTCAGATCTGAAAACATAATACATCTACAACCCAGATCTGAAGAAAAAGGTTCAAATTCTAAAAACAAAATACATCTACAGCCTAGATCTGAAGAAGAAGGTTCGGATTCTAAAAATAAAATGCATCTACAGTCTAGATTTGAAGAAAAATGTTCAGATTCTAAAAAACAAAGAAGCTTAAATCTTTCATCTAGCACAAATCTTAAGTAAATATCCAGGTCTTAAAATTAATTTGAAAAAAAGAAAGTTGATTGGAGTGGGGGTTTCTTCTTCTCAAGTGGAGTCTAGTACTTTGGGTTGTGTTCCAGATTCCCTTCCTTTTGTTCATTTAGGGGTGCCGGTTGGCCAAAATATGGCTAGAGTTTCTGCGTGGTCTTCTATTCAGGATCGCTTTCGTTCTAGATTATATGGCTGGAAAGTGAAGAGCCTTTCTATCGGAGGTCGTCTAACATTGACTAAGTCAGTTCTTGGAAGTTTGGGGAGTTATTTGATGTCCATGTTTATGGCCCCGTCT